TTGGAAGAAAAACGAAATTAAAAACAAACAAAAAATACATGAAATCTGGAGACAGTAATGGAAAATTTTACCGAACGAAAAAAGTGATTAAGGCAAAAAGCCAAAGTATCAGAACTACCCATAGCTACCATTATCTATCTATCTATAAATAAATGCATATATACATGAAGAAATGAGAGAGAAGAGAAAGATGAAGGAAGAAAGAGATAGCGGAAGAAAGAGAAAGGAAGAAAAAAGAGTGAGGCTGAGTAGATAAATTCTGAATCTCACTTTTTCCTCTTCCTTCCTCTCCCTGTCGATAGATAGATGGATAGGAACATGCTGAAATACATACAGATAGATAGATAGATAGATAGATAGTGAGAAATGACATAAACACAAAGAGAAGGGAGAGGAGGAAAGAGTTAAGCAGTAAAGAAGTCCTTTTTTTCTTTGCATAGCTTGATATCTTGGCCACTACTACACTTACACGGGTGATGTCATTGCCATTTATTACAATTCACTTTTGTTAAAATGGCCAAGCAAAGAATCCACCCAGCAAGTAAAATAGACAAGACAAATGATGGAAAAAAATGAATGTAAGAGAAACGTACTGATAGATTGATTAGGAAGAGAGAAATATAAAGAGAGAGAAAGAAAATGAAAAAGAGAGGAAGAGAAAGGAAAATAAATAAATAAAGAAAGAAAGAAAGAGATAGGGGGGAGAGAGAAAGGGAGATAAAGAGAAAGAGAGAGAGAGGAAGAGAGAGAGAATAAACAGATCAATGAATAACGTAGGAAAGGAATCGAAAAGAAAAGTCCCAAATTGAACATTTTTATAGAAACAGTTAAATAACGTCGAGCCAAACTTAATGGTTCATTTGTCAGATTGTTACGCGGAAAAAATAATGACGAAACTATTTAAGAGAAAATAATAGAAAAAGTAGAAAAATATACCTTTATACGTATGTATCTACAAAAATAAATGAAGAAAAAAAAATACAGCGGTCTACAAATAAAGTAATAACGCAAAGGTCTTGGCTAATTGATATTTTTCGCGATCACTTGTCACATTAAAAAAATCAAATCAAATTCTATAATGGAAATTTGCTTAAAAAGAAACATTCGTTGGTGTAGCTTCATGTTTAAAACATCTGATGGTCGCCAGAAGTTTCTATGCTTGACTCTTGGTAGATAACATTCTGTTTGCAGTATTATTATTATTATTATTATTATTAATAATAATAATAATAATAATAATGAAGATAAACCCCGTACCAATCAGTGGCTATGTAGTGCAGGGTTAAAAGCTGAAAATGAAGTTTTTATTCTTGCTGCACAGGACCAATGCTTGCTAGCTAGAAATTACCAAGCACGCATATTGAAAAATTGTATTAGCCCAAAATGCAGATTCAGTGATAAATATCCACAAACAATTGATCATCTTGTATCAGGTTCTGCGGTATTGGAACCCATTAAATATAAAACACGGCACGACAGAGTGGGCCAATATCTGCACAGGAAAGCCTACAACACTTACGGAAAGGAAACTACAGGAAATTGGTATGAACGTCACCCAGACCCGGTTACGTAGATAGGACCTGTAATAACTTTATTGGACTTAACAATACACACAGACAGAATAATCAAAGCTAATCGCCCAGGCATCGTGATTAGAGACGGCAAGGACAAAATGTGCTTCCTTATTGACATGGCAGTCAGCGGAGACTGCAATGGAGCTTTGAAGATCTCCAGAAAACTGCCAGAATACAAGGACCTTGAAATCGAAATCTCAAAATTGTGGCACATGGGAACATTGCCAATTCCAGATGTAATTGGAACCCTCGGATTGATTGGAAAAGATTCTAATAAACTCATTGAAGGGATTCCTGGTATCCCATGCCTTAAAGAAATGCCAAAAAATGTACTCACAGGTACATCCCACACCTTTATTTATGTAAAATATATGCGATCCTTTTTTTTCAAAACTGCTCAATGGAAAATGTCATAATGCCATATCTGACTTTAGGTCTCTGGTCGGGACCCGGAAAGAAATGAGTATACACCAGAAACCAAAGGAAATAATAATAATAATAATAATAATAATAATAATAATAATAATTGGGATCCAAACTCTTATAAATGTCAATTTTACCGTTGTTGTTCAATAGTTAAAAAAAAAAAAAAAAAAAAAAAAAAAATAGCAGGAGTAGGCCTGGCCCCATGAATGTGATGGTCCACCATGGTATAGATAGGCTCTGGCACCCAACAACCAGACCCCACGTATGTGTCAATACGAACTAACCATAATGTTGACAGAACGAAAAATATTGCTAAACTACATCGGTCGTCACGCGGATCAACAAGGACCGCGATTCTCATTGAGGAACCAGACTGGGATCGAAATGTCTGTAACTGAAATAAACTCTACCCAATGAGAACTAAAGAAAAACCACGCCGAGGACAGTCCTCACAGTGGCCCTCTATATTCATTAAAAGAAAATCTCACAAAAAGAACAATAAATAAATGTTCTAGCGAAAAGAGTATATTGAAGTAATGATAGCATTTTACATTGCCACAATAAACCCGACAACAACGACCAAAACCGCCTATAATATCTTGCGAGAAAAACATCCCTCAAACAGACTAAATATCGATACCAACAAACTAGCCAATGTCAGGCGTGATATCATCAGGAAAAAAGAATATCTGACTTAGAACTCGAAAGCATTCGCGTAAACATTAAAAATAGATTAGACGTTAACATCGAGGGGCTAAATGTCAACAACCCAGAGGAGACAAATGCAGAGGAACAAATAGAAACCAGTTGTAATAATCCCTCTGAGGTACACAAGCAAATAGAGGAAGATAATAACGAATTTAAGAGAGAAATAGAAATTACAAAAAGCATTCGATATAAATGGGAGAATGTAAAGAAAATTTCTTTCAAGGAAAGGCCAACAATTCCAAAAATAAGAAAGAAGTGTCAAGTGAAGGAAACCATCAATCTCGTTAAACAAGGAATTACAAAAATAAGGAACGAAATGAAAAGACCGATGAACCTGACAGAAATTAATCATCTTATATACGCAGCCTCGGCATCGATTGCAGAAACAATATGTGAAAAAGTAAAAACACAACGTAAACGAAAAATTAAATCTGGAAAGAAAAAAATAGGAACCAAAATAAATAAAGTAATAGAACAATTGTCACTTCTAAGTGAAGTCGACAAGGCCTTCAACATGAAAGAAAGAAAATGGAGACAACTGAAATGAAGCCTTGACGTAAAGAATAATACTGACGTACCAAAAATTAAAGAGAAGCTGAAACAACAAATTCAAGCGAAGGCTCAGAGAATCAGGCGTTATGAAATAAGGGACAGATTCTTCTGGCGAAACAAAATCTTCAAAGAAAATGCCAAGAAACTATATCGAGAACTGAGAAAAATAAAATAGAGATAAATGACTCACTTAATATCCAGGAAGTCGAGGTCTGGGAAAACTGTAACATGCACAATGAAAGAGGTACATGGATCAAGCAACAACAGGAACAGTACATGCATACAGAGTTCCAAAAATGGACGAATATCAATATTACTGAAACAACCGCTGCCATCTGCAAAAACCCCAAAATGGAAAGCACCAGGAACATTCATCGAACAAGTTGTATTATTTTCCTACGTTCACATTAGCCTTGGAAAATAATGCATCTTGTTCGATGATGAAGCGATGTACCTTTAAGAAGTTTAGTGTGATTTTAATGTGCAATAATAATGATATGACATTTGTAGGGTCTAATATGTCTTATTTTTTCTTATTTTGTCTTATATATTGGGTAATATAAGTGTAAAAGTGACTACAGGGATATTATTTAATGTCTAGAGAGCTCTTATAATGTCAAAAAACGTATTTAGAAGGTCGTAAACGGGTTTTCTATGCTCTAACTACCAAAATATTCGATTTATAAATAAAGGATCCTACTTATTGTGGTAGGGTGATCTGGGACTGATTAAGCGCGATAAACGAAGGACGACTTGTAGTAAGAAACGTGCTATCATTTAAATGAGAGTTTTCCTATAAGGGCTAAGGACCATAGTTTGGACATGACTCTAAAGGATACAAAGCAGAAAACATAACATATACAAATGAGCGCGATTTAAGAAAAGAAAACGAGAAGAAAAAACAGTTTCTCACAATGTTAAACAATATTTCGACAGTAGGTCTGCCTTCTTCAAATTATACTTAAACAATTGTTTTCAAGTATTAAAAATATATATCTCAAAAAAAAAAAAATTATAATTCTTTGTACAAACGTTGCTTTTCTTGTAATGAAAAAAATGACTGTATTGGTAATGAACGCGTCAAAATGAATGAAAAACCGCCAGCGTGAATGGCATAAAACTAAAATACAATGGCATACAACTATGATAGTGATCTTGCTCATCTTGGAATTTTCCATTTGTTGATTAGTTACTAAGAGGAATTAATTAAACAGCTTAGTATAAATCTTAGGGAACTCTATTATCATACTTTCCATTCCCCTGGGATGGGAAGTTAAATAATCTGCTTACAAAACTAGCCTCATACGTTTTAAGGGTCGAAAGGTCAATAGTTACTGAATATTTATTCAGAATGTGTACCTTAAGATGTTTATCGAAATTACACTCGTTTGTAATAAAATGTTCTTCAAGTTCCGTTGATGTTACATTGTTGCGTCTGACATCATATCTGTGTCCATTGAATCTTTTATTTAATTTTTGCGTTGTGCAAGCCACATAAATCAAATCATGTTTGGTACAATGGTCGGCATATATTAAATGGGAATCAGTAAAATTACCACCCTCTGTTGAAATCGTGATGTTTCTCTTTGAATTTGTGATAGAATTAACTTAACTCATGTCACTGCACAATGCACATGGTTTTCCTCATCTATGACTGTTTTAGGGAGTACAACGATCCGAAACTACAATGTTGTTTTGAGTATGGAAGCTTACATTTGTTAAAATTTGCCTGTTTTTATTTCTTTTGAAAGAAATAATAGGCTGGTTGGGAATAATAATAATAATAATAATAATAATAATAATAATAATAATTCCAGATGTAACAGAGACTCAAGTCGACAAATATCCCGAACTTTCCAAGGGTGAATAAAAGAAAATTAAGTTAATGGCGAACGCTGCTTATAAGAAGACTCTCGAACAAAAATAGATATCTAAAGCTTTGTATGGAAAGTACCCAAAGCGTCTGGATGAATCAGACATCAATGTTCCCCAAATCCATCAATGGCTTAGAAGCTGTAATCTTAACGGGGAGACAGAAGGCCTTATTATGGCAGCACAAGACCAATGTCTTATTAGTAATGATTGCAAGGCTAATCAACAAAGATGGCTTAAATCCTACCTGTCGTTTATGTCATAAATTTGATGAAACTTTTGACTACATAGTACCAGGGCACCAAATCCTTTGCTGAGAAAGAATGCGTTATTAAACATGAAAACCTAGGACAATATCTCCATTGGCATGTCTGTTCGAACAACATTCATTACTTCTTATTGAAGATGTATTTCCGTTATTTTCTTTTAATTCCATTTTGAAAATCGGTTTGGTCAGCACCAAACTAAAAAAAGTTATATACAGGTTTGGCTTGCACAAAAAACTCAAAAAGATCGACACAGGTTTAGTTTGCCCGATTCAGAAAGATAGAGATAAGTTTACTTAGCACGTGAGTCAAACAGGTAGACATAAAAAAACAACCTTTTCGACACCAAGCCATAATATTCACCATTACTCTCCCTTATGAACAGAGATGTACAGCGCGTCATACTCTAGGGGCATACCTAATAGGCTATGGTCTGGCACCTGACAATTAAATCTCTGGTATTGTAATGGCTATTTATTACAGTCCATCCTAATTCACATGTAGACATGTTAACACATCTAAGCAATTAAGATCAGAAGATGGTGTAGCATCAGGGCATTTATTATTATTATTATTATTATTATAAAATATGTGATTGTAAATGGTAATGAAAGCAAAGATTTAAATAACGTTTAAATAAATTGTAGAAAATATCATTACAATAAGGTAACGAAAGCTGATGCGGAAGCACCTACTCGAGTTCAGTTGGTCTGTCCGAAGTCGTGACTTTGCAGTCTGCCCGCTTATGGGACCCCAGGTCGTGGTTCGAGCTCGCTGACAGATCACACCGCTTCGTCGGCCGAGCCGAATGACCACGCGCAAGTGAGGGAGCAGTCGATTTCACTTAGTTTACCTAACTTTGTGAAATTTCAATTTTTTTTCGTTCTCATGCACGTAGAGACAGGTTCGCACCGCGCGGCCGACCTCGCCCGTGTCTGATTTGATGTTACCGTAGAACACACCAAAAATGTAAGCTTTAATCTTTAAAAAATAAACGCGAGAAAAGCAGTCTTAATGCCAAATTAGTATATATTTGGTAAACTAATTTTTATTTTGCTGTAACTTTTTTTATAATTATGATTTTTATTTCAGGATTCGTTTTTTTCAACAAACATCTCATAAAGAAAGGTAATGTTTCTAGAAAGTTGTCGATTTACTGATCGGTCAAGAAAAATTGAAATTCACACGCACACACACACGCACACACACATATGATTAAAAAATAGTTTTAAGGTATGCTATATTTATGGGTAAAGGTGCTCCATATCAGAGATGCTGCATATGTAAAGATAAAAGTGAACACTGAGGTCAACATCGAGCGGCGACAGTCTGTTACATGCTTGAACACAATCTTCAGGATCACGTGAAGAGTACGTTCAAGTATGAAGTAGACTGCCGCTCCTCGCTGTTGATCTGTGTCCACTTATATATATATATATATATATATATATATATATTATACATATTATAAATGTATGATAATATATATATATATATATATATATATATATATATATATATATATGAAAATTTCTCAGAGTTAACTTGTAGAAAAGACAATATTTATAATATAAAATGATAATAGGAAAACTGTAGTTATTGGACGTCAGCAATAACTACAGTTTTCCTATTGTCATATATATATATATATATATATATATATATATATATATATATATATATATATATATATATTGAAAGAGGGAGATGAACAGACAGACAATAGATAGATATGAGCAGGATGATGTTGGTATGAACAAAGTCATATCAAAATACAAAATCACGTAGATATGAAGAACAGACAGACAGACAATAGATAGATAGATAGATAGATAGATAGATAGATAGATAGATAGGAGCAAACTGTGACATAAAGACGGAATGGCGGAATTACTGAGAATGCTCAAGCAAATGTGGAATATTTCATAAGAAAAATATAAAACTCATAAATATAAAAAGAAAAAATGTATGAAAATGCTTATTGATGATTGTCAGATGCAATTTAATGTATCAATTGTTTGTTTCCTAAACGACTTAAGTCACCAAGGAATAAATACAATCGCCGGTTTATAGTGTCGATTCGGACTTGTCCTTCGTATCATACATAAAAAACAATATGTTGTTGAAACGTATTAGTTTCACAGGCAGATGGTAGCCGATTGAATAGGATTAATGCGAAATGTCCCGCCTGCAGGGAACAGTAACGTAATCGTGGCGCCATCTGCATATAAGTTTAATAATGGCGAAATAGATTGCCATCGAGTTGTTTTACTAACGATGGCTAAAGACTGTTTCACTGTTACGATAGTGTTCAGAATTAACTGTCGATAATAGACAAATTTCTTTCTTTTCATTACATTTTAGTAATTCTTTTTTATTCTTTCGACTTTTACTGTCGTGAAATTTTCAATATTTTTCTCTGTTGTATTTTCTATCTTCCTGATTTTGTTTGATTAATCATCGATTTTTTTAGCTTCCTATAAAATCTGGCCTCCAGATCTCGAGTGGCAAGTCACTGCCTGCACAAATCGAAATCACGTATAGTTGAATTTGTAATAGTTTAAATAGTTTATCTTAAAAGTTTTATTCAACATTTTAAGCCAAATTGTAGAATAGTGTTCTCCGTAGATGACTAGTATTCAGTCATTAAAACTTTGGCAGTAATTACATATAAATCTCCACATATTGTAAAGTTATCTTGGATAATTTTAGGCTTACCGATATATCACGTTGAAACATCGTCGAGCCTGGTCAGTACTTAAATGACCACCTAGGAATAACAGGTGCGGTGAGCATGGGTATGCGTGTGATGTATTGAATATCTGTCAGTTTCGTTATATTCATTGACACACAAATATCCTTGGGAATGCTATGAATCATCTTCATCTCTCCCCAGCTATGGGTTAATTACTAGGACATGTATCAGTAAATAATTATTATCTCAAAAACTCCTTACAGTCTAAACATATCTTTTGGCTTTAAATATCACGCAAAAGGTTGATAGGCAGTAAAAAACAATCAATCAATGGATACTTTTAATAATGGCTTCCTCTTAGAGTAAACATGCGGAATTAGCACACATTTAGACGTGTTTTAATATCTTCCCAAGAAAAAAGATGCGAGAACCTGTTACTGTCTGGTGGTTAGTTCTTTATTTCTGTTCCATGTTGATTACAAACAACTATAGAACGACAGTTGACACATTTAAAAAAAAAATAGTTTCTGAAATTAAGATTAACAAATAGGAATCGATTGATTAATACTTGAGAATTCAATCTCTAAAAGAGAGGCAACTTCCAACAACTTGCTATATAAAATACAAATTCTTACAAATGAGGCTTTATCTGTGGTTCGAAACCGATTCGAATCTGATCCCTACTCCTGAGGAACGTCCAGATAGATAACCTGATGGAAATACGGACATTCTGTATACAGGCAACATTCTTCCAATGAGATATACCGAGTGTAACAGGAACTTGTCCAAATTGTGTAACAGCATCCCACGAAATGTTTAATATCTGAATTCTATTTTTCAGGTTTTCGGATAAGCTTAGCCATCTTGAGACCATTTTTCGTAAGAATCACTAAAAACTGAATTAATCAGCTAAAAAGAGAGCAGGTTAAAATCCTTTTGTTTTAGACCCACTGTTTTCCCAACTGAGCAATGGTGGTAGGAAAAAGATCATTTAGACCTTCAGTAATGGTACCAACATTCATACTCTGACTTCCATTCAAGTCCATTCAAGAACCATCAAGAGAATGGTGAATAAGTTTAAAAAAATAGGGAACAGTAGAGAGGAAAACTGGATAAGGAGTTCGCAACTTAGAGCTAAAGCGATCAATTAGAAAAGAACTAACTCAATGCAAAAGACATTTGGCACGTGAGAGAGGAGTTTCAGCTATGACAGTCCAAAAAGCAGTGAAAAAGATTTTAAATTGAAATCGTACGTGAAACGTGTGAGACACCCTGTTACTCCAGGACAGAAAGTTAGAAGGTTAGAGAGGGCGAAGGTCATCTTGAATAAGTTAGGAAATGATCCTGTAATTATATATATATATATATATATTTGAACTTAATTTCAATACTTCATGAACTTCTGATCCTTAGCTATGATTAATTAACATTAATGAACATATCATTTTTGACATCGCGATTCTTCTGTTGAGCTTAGAGAGTAATTATATATTCTTATTGCTCAAAGTCCAATAGTGTTATAAAAATCTCGGACAATTCCAGTAAGATATCTTTAATCATTTCGACGGTTCAGATCTTAATCTAGCAACTGGGCAATCTTGCTGTTACACAATTTTTCTGTTACACTCGATATACTAGCGAAAGCAAAGCTTGGCTATGTGTTCACCGTTGTCACCAGTGATGTAGAATATCATACATCGAAATGGTTTTAGGAGCTGTACAACTAAATACAACAGTATCGTTCAAATATGTAAATGAAATGTCCGTACTCTGGCTTAAGGAGAAAGCTATACAAAAAATGCTGGATAATATGAACTCACTAAGAACTTCGATCTGGTTCACAATGGAAGAGGAAGCAGCAGGCCTTTCTGGATGTACTAATAACCTGCACAGAGAATGGGTTCATATTATCCGTACATCACAAGTCAACATTCACTCTTGTCCCACTGTCCATGTCTCTGAAAAAGGGTTTAGGTAACCTTGATATATTTGAGAAGGATATTAGAATAATGCAGAACTTATACTGGCTGCAAACCGCCTGCATATGGATAAAAATGAATTCAGTAAATATTCAAATATAGAAAGGGGTGTAAGACAAGGATATATCATCTCACCGGACTTATTTAACCTATACAACGAGGCAATTCTGAGATAATTAGAAGTTTTACTAGGATTCATTATTGGCAGTCCCAATCTTAACATAAGATATGCAGATGACAGAGTGTTGATAGCAAACACAGAAGAGAATCTAAAATAACTTCTACAGAAAGTAGCGAAGGAAAAGCGAGAAGAAAGGATTAAACATAAATTGTCAGAAGACAGAATGCATGGTTGTCAGCAAAAGTAACAGTTTACATATTGGAAATACAAAAATCAAACAAGTACAACAATTTAAATATCTGGAAATCTTTTTAACAGAGGACGGAAAGTGTGGCAGTGAAATCCGAAGAAGCATTGAGATAGAGAAAGAGCTTTTCAATAGCTAAGTGAATGCTAGACAATCTCTTCAAAGAGGAAGAAGAAACTTGAAGCAATAGACATTTGGTTCTACAGAAGGATGCTGAGAATATAATAGGACGAATATGAGAGCAACAATAGGTTTTAAAAGGAAATGGAAAAAAGTTATATATAACATCAGGAAGAGACAGTTGAAGTTTCAGGGACACATAATGAGGAAAGAGGACATGGAAAATTTGATACTCACAGGATAGATTGAGGGACAATGGAAAACAACGCAAGAACTACCTCGCGAGCTTTAAATGGATGGCAGAATAGGGTTTAAGAGAGAAACAAAAAGACAGAATTTATTAAGAGTTAAAAATAACAGGAGATTGTGGAGAGTCGTGATCGCCAACATCCTGACTTAATGAATTATGAGTCTTATGACGTTACTAATGGAGATGGAATCTCATTCAATTATTTGTCGTTAACATCCGAATGATGACTGGTATATTTATATTATTATTTTTTTACTATTTTTTCACACAAGGTCCAAGAGCCATTCATGGTAGAGGGTTACTGAAGATGGTTGGTGTGTAAACGTAAGAGGAAGATGTAAGTGCAGATTAAGATGATATGTGGGATACATAACGGTGACCCTAAACTTGAAGAGGTTAAGATTTTAGAGATCGGAGAAGCATCAAGTCTGGAGTCTGTTCACCAGAGTATCGGTTCTCGGAAAGAACTGGGTAGAACTTGCTTCTTACCATTAGAACACGGTAAGAAGGTGGAATTAAAGAATGTAGCTCATTTGAACATTTGCCATGGAAATAGCAATAGAGTTGCGAGAGGTTTAGCTGGAAAGGGCTGAACTGGCGGAACAAAAGAATGTAGCTTGTTTGAACAATTGCTATGGAAATAGCGATCGAGCAGCTATTCGCTTGAGACATTTCGTATGTGGCAAAGGGTCCGTAAGGTTGAAAATGATTAATTAATTACATATCTCTAATTAATTCAACATGCATATTTAAAAAAAAAAAAAAATCAGTATCACCCCATGCAAAGTAGTAAAGCCACTATAAGACAAGGGTTTACAAAGTGTGGAAGAATTAGGAAGAGAAGCATTAATAATAAGCGAGAAGAGGAAAGAGTAATCACGAGGACAGTAGTTAGCGATTGACATTGCATTTAATTTTTGAAGATTAATGTTGGCTGGAAAGCATGGAGCCAGAAGGGAGTCCCACAAGCGAGAAGTGCAAGAAAAGAAACTATTAGCATAGAACTTACGGTTATATCTTGCCATCCCAACTGTCAACTGATGAGACCTTTTCGCCAATCTAGTACTGCGCTTATATTCATAAAGTCTTGATAACATAGAAAATAGTTCATCAGAACAATTATCATGAAAGGATTTATAGAAAAGAGACAGAGAAGGATCCTTAAGGCGGTGAGGAAGTGGCTGAACCGAGCAGCCAGACCAGGATCAATAATATTGCAGATTCTTCTCTGGATTTTATCAAGGAGCTCAAGGTAAACAGCAGGGGCACGCGGCCATATGTAGAAGTAATATTCTAAGCATGGACGAATGGTAGAATTATAGATATTCAGGTAGTTTATTGCTTACAATAGGATATTGACGGGCAACGTTCGAATTCTGGTCAAGTTCGTTTCGCCCAAATATCATTGTGAAAGGTATGAATCCAATTCTTCTAACACCACACGCAGTTTTGCACAAAACCCCTTGAGAAAGCTATGAATCTATCTTTTCTCCCGCCCACTCAATCACTCACTTAAGCCCTGTACGCTCCTCATATCGGGCTACAGCCTCAACACGCTAGGCGTTGTTTCTGTGCATTCTGTTGACGTTTATGGGATTGAGTTGCTAGCACCCTGCACAAACGGTTTTGAATTTTTCTGAGGTGCGAGACATGAAGCTATTGGAGTAGAAGAGACGGCTACATTTAGGAG